GAACGTTTCGATGATGTTGTTCTTAATACCGGTGTATACAAAGGGAAGCTTAAGTTAGCTGAGCAAGTTGTTGCGGGTATATGGTCTATGCAAGTTTTTTTAGGGCAGCAAATGTTGACGGAGAAAATTATCGAAGTGAAAGATTATGAATTGCCACTATTTGAAATTGACTTGGAGATGCCTAGCTATGTGTCGCTGAAAGATAAAAACTTTTTAATTAAAGTAAAAGCACAGTAAGTTGCATTGCATGTATAAGAATGTTCTTAAATATTTTATAAACTTTGGGATTTTATGTGCTTAAGTTAATGCCATTATTATGGGGATATGACAACTTGACAGGCTATTTGGCTATCAGGCAAATTTGAWAACTATTGTTGTAAATTAACTGAAAGTTTGGTTGTTTAACAACTCGGTTCTTAATATAAATACAATAAAGCGGCAACTATGTTTACACCAGTTGCCTTGCCTACTATGCTACTAGTTGAAGTATTATGTGACACCATTATGAGTAGGAAACCGAGTGGGTTCGAATCGTGATCTCATGTCACAATAAATTGTAAGAGCTTCTGTACAGCTTCGAAGTGTATTCGGTATGAGAATTCCTGCTAAATGTTTTTTTTATATAATGGGACGCACTTTTAAACTCTCGARTTTTCAAAGATCAAAACCGGGCGATGCTTTGAGATGTTGGTTTATATGGAAGAAAAAATGTTTTTTTTTATAAATAGTCGCCTTCTGCTTAAATACAGCTTTTCGCACGGTCCGAGAGCATGTCTTCAAATGTTTTAGTTCGTTGGCCGGTATAGCCGCCAGTATGCCGGCGCAAGACTTTTGAATGGTCTCCACGTCTGTATAACGCTTTCCTTTCATGGGCAAATGCATTTCTCTGAAAAGGAAGAAGTCGCTCAGGTGAATACGGGAAGTGGTTAAAAATATGATTYTTGGTCAAAKAATCGATCACAAGCGTCGATCGTTGCATTATTGGATGCTCAGCAAYGTTTGGTCGTCAGCGGAACAAACCTKTCGTAAGTCCAAATGTTCGGTCAATATGCGATAAATTTACTTTTTGGAGATGTTCAATTAAATTTCTATGAATTTCAATGATGATTTCGGCTGATTTTTGATGAATTCATGCACAGTTTCGATGGAATTTCTGGTGATCACGGATTTTGATTGGCCCTCATGTTGATCRTCATTTATGTCCTCAAGACTACTTTGCGAACGTTGAAACCACTCGTGMACCCTGCTAGGGGATTGGCAATCATTGCCATAAACTTCTTTCATCAATTGAAGCGTTTCGGARAAAGTTTTACCAATTTTAAAATAAAATTTTATTTTTGCTCTTTGTTTGAAGCTCATTTTCGTACCGAYAACACAAACATATTGACACTAAAAAGGCAATAACTTCACTTTCAATAAATGAAATATCATGAAATGTTCACTGGACAATCGATAAAGATAGCAGATTCTAGCGCACCAGTCATCAGACCGCTATACGTCGGCACGTCACATCTGTCAAGATAGGAGGTGGCTCCATTCATGAGCTGAGAACGCGTATCGCTAGATAGATATCCAAAAACCCAAGTTAAACAGCCGCTTCTTCTATTTTCTAAGTCGTACAGGTTTCAACGTCATCCATAAGGATCGCGAGTGAGATAGTAGTGGAGGCCGAAAAATACCGTGCAATATCTCCTCATCGATGGCGACATCGACCGAAGGGATACCACCCTTGAATGTTGGAATATAACTATACCCTCAGGCGATGTCGAGCTCGAAATATTTAATATATAAATCCCCTTATCATATGTTGCCCAATAGATTATCACATAACGAACATAGGTGCGTTACTTCGTGGTGAAAACCGTTTGGTAACAGGCGACTTTAACGTGCATCACGATCTTTGGCATTTCTTTCTGTCAAACGATCATAGGGAATGGAGCTGTCGTGACAGATAGACGATTCGACGTTTTGCACAATGAATGATGAAGCATACACCAGAATATATATATATATATATTAGATATGCAAAGTTTCTAAACCCGTATATAACCAACAGAGTAGGAAATTACAACTTTTTACTCCTTTTTTATTATTCCTTTGGGAAAGAACTTATTTTAACATAAATGAAATGATAATTTTTGTAGTTACACCTTTGGCAAACCGATATTTGGTACCTGTGTACTCACATTCAATGTAACAAGAAATAATGTACTAAGAAAACAATATAACTTGCAAGAGGGTGAGTTGGATATTCCAATCAACGTAAGGGACCTTGGTGGAAGGTTACGAGTTATTCCCATAACTGTCGACGTTCTAGATGGCGCAACACAAAACTCACGTAAAATCTCGAAAACAATTAAAATTGTAGCCAGTCATTTTGAAATAGAAACACCCGACGTTGTTCACGAGTGCAATGGAGAAGATGAGACATTTGTCTATCGTGCTCACATTTCACATAAAAATGGAAATCCGATCGATCGGGAAGTTTACCTCACACTTGATATGCGTACAAAAGATGATCTTATAAGTGATGCGCTTGTAACTTATGCAGAAAATAATGGTGATGTTGATGTGAATATTGAATGCGCAAACTACGTCAGCATAAATGTAACAATCAAATATGAAAACTCAGAAAGCACGGGCGTTATACAACTATATCATAACAAGGAAGGCGGCGAAGGTGGACTTTATGTTAAGACACAAGAGTAAGATTATGAACATTTTCATTCTACACAGATATTATCGATATRAGTAAGTYTATTTTTAACTTTAGTCCCACAGTAGACGATGCGATAGAAATACGTCTCGTATCGCCTGAGGAATTTTCCAGATTTGTATGTGTAATTGTCGGACGTGGCAATATTGTATATACTGAGGCCATCGAAGTACCCAATGGCGGTTCGAGCCATRCACACACTTTCTCTGTTACACCAACTTAYGAAATGATGCCGGAAGCGTATATGTTTGTCTATTTTTTCAAAAACGGAAGGATGATTCATTATGAGACGAAATTCAAAGTTAAGAATCAATTTAAAAATACTGTAAGTAGAAGAGGTATCTCTGTTTTTGTATACAATAATCAAATGGTTTCAAATATCCTTACTATATCTAAATCAATTTATATACATATGTTTATTTGCTTCGTTTTCAGATTTCCATCGATGCCCCAGATGTTGTCAAGCCAGGCGCATATATTAACTTAAATATCGACACGGAGCCAAATTCGTACGTTGGCTTATTGGGTGTTGACAAAAGTGTGTTGCTGCTAAAGTCAGGCAATGATTTCGATGCCGAAACAATTTTTGACGATTTAAGGAATGTGAACAGTACAATATCAGGAAGATATGAACTACCAGGTATATCATCTGGCCTTGTAACAATGACGAATGCTCATTACAATATAGGTGGGGTATATTAGCTTTTACATATATTTAATAAGTAAACGTTGCCAATATTTCCAGACAAGGGAATCAGTGGCGATAATGATTTTAGAAATGGTAACCCAAACCCGCGTCGACATTTCTTTGAAACTTTTGCGTTTGTAGATTTTACCAGGTATGTATAGCAGCGATAGATTATAGCAGAAACAGCCAAAAACGTAGAATTGTGGCCCGTGTCAGCTGATACGACCTATCTTATGTGCGCGCAATGTAAGTGAACAGCGAAAAACGCTACTCCCTTCTCTCCTTGCCGTAAGATGTCGTGGGAATCCACGTCATTTGGATTTTTGCCGTAGAACGTGTCAGCTGTTTGCTCTCTCACAACGCAGGGTTGCCAATCTCCATTTACTGTAGTAATTATAAAAGTTGTTTTCAATATTATATATAAACTATTTTTAATAGTTTGTTTCCAGTTTTGATATTTTATATTATGAAAACTTGTGATTGAAAACATAGATTTATATGAACGTATACATGCGTATTGAGCAATAGCAACATTGTTCAAATGAAAACAAACAATAAATAGCTGATTTCTGCGTTTTTACCGCGGGCTCAACTTTTGACACATTTTGCTCGCTAAGGCAGGAAAAGGAAGAAAGGGAGTAGTATTTTTGGCTGTTTCTGATATTACTTTGAGAAAGTATGATAAGTAGAGATGTAAATTTTTCCAGTCCACAATGCTAGTACCGAATATTCAATGAGTTTAGCTCTCTTATAAAACTATATTAGGTTGTCAATAAAGTCCTGCGGCATTTTCGCTAGTTGGCGCTAAGAGCGCGTAGTTCTAGTTCTATTCGTCGCATCGGGTCATGCTATACCTTTTTGGAAAGCTCATTTCACACGCTAACACGTGTTTGATTAATTGTCGTTTCTTTTAAGTTGTTGAGTTATAGCATCGCAAACGTGGAGCAAAATAAATAGAAAATACGGCGTATTTTACAGTACTAGCCGCCAATAAAATTTGTGCAGTTTACGGACCCGATACAGTTTCCATTTCCACCGCACAACGATGGTTTCAAAGCTTTCGGTCTGGTGTAGAGGTGGTCGAAGATGCGCCACGCATTGGTAAAGAGCTGGGCATGAGTCATCGAAAAAAATTTTATGAACAATTGAAAATATTAGAATACAGTATAATTCGAGAACTTAATGCTTAAATTTCTACAAGACTTTTCATTCTATGACTTACCATTCTTACAAATCTTTTGAATTTTTTATAAATTTTGTTGTAACTGATATTAATAGATAAGTATTTCGAATTGCAGTGAGGATGGTCATAATGAATTGCGCCAAAAAATACCTGATACCATAACTACKTGGGTGCTTACAGGGTTTTCTCTCAATCCAAAAACTGGATTTTCGCTTACAACAACACCAACGAATGTAAGGACTTTTTTGAAATTTTTCCTTACCGTTAAACTGCCACAATCCGTAAAATTAGGAAAGTAAATGCAATATTGAAGCCATTGACCGTTAAATAAATGTATACCTATATGGAACTTAATATTTTATAGGCGAGATTATAGAACTGGAAGCAACAATCTTTAACTATTTACGCNAATATTGTGGTAGGCTCAGAAATGATTGAGATTTCTGTTATGGACTTTATAATGGGATCCATGTTGAATTTGATTAACACTGGTGAGAACTTCGCGCAACTTATTACCAGCCCATCAGGTTGTGGCGAGCAAAATATGATACATCTAGTACCAAATTTGATGGTACTAAAATATTTACAGGTTAGACATGTTTTTTTGATTAATATATATATATTTTTCTTTTGGTTTTAGCGGGTGAAGGGGTAGAAAATGCCTTCCGCATCATCGGTGCTATCGTCACAGCAGGGGTATGTGCCACTTGCAGGTCACTAAAAACCCCCTCTAAGGAACCGTCGCCCATCCTGGGACCGCATTTGCATTTCTTCAGAGTGTCGTTCCATTTTTCTCATTGAGAGATTTACATCTGGTCGTGCTTTTTGCTGCAAAGCAAGATTTCTGCGAATGAATTGTCCGCGTTTATTTGGCCATAAACCTACTTCTCTRAATTTATGGCTTGTCCATAAGTCTAGATCTTTTATTAGCCGCCCGTCCATCTGCCTCGACTTTCATTCTCCCATCTGTGTTGCCATGTTGTTATTTTATCTTTCCTTATTTGTTGTATTGCGCTCTTGTTATTATCGGATGATTTCTTTAGCTCTCGCAGCTCTTTCCTTTCATATGCTGGTAGTTCAATTGGGGCATTACCGCTTGTAACTAATATTGCATCCCCTGATACTGTCCGGTAGGCTGAAGCAACTCTGGTGCGGCTCCCTATAATAAGACACTGATTATCGTCGACATTTAGAGCTTTCTCTTTTCTTGGCTGGGGCCTATGTTGGCCTTKAATTTGCTCAGTTGAGAAGTGATCTTCGCTGCCTTCCCTGCGGCCTACTGGATTTGTAACCAGAAGGTTAGTCTGGGATTCAGTCTTACGCCYAGGTAGTTTACTGCTTTCTGTSTCCTAAGCATATCCTAATATCTGTGTTCTAAGAATTAAATATAAAGCGTCTGACATTTCTAGTTTTAATATAGCGTCATAGCTAATGTTTCATAGGTCTGGRACTAGAATGGATCCTTTTGCGGCTCCTTACATAACCGCTATCTGTCGTGACCCTTCTCGAGTTTCATACAGCAGTTTTCTGTTGCTAAGYTAGCTCCGCACCACTGCCCTGAGATAGTTGGGTTCGAGAACGTCGATCACGGATCTACCCRTCTGGACATCTAGAGTYACCAGTAACGCTATTATTTTATATTTACGCCATCCACGCTGTGCTGCCAATGACTCTTTTTATAGCTCCTGTAGTTGATCTGCCGGGTCTGAAGCCATATTGTCTTGGGGACAGTCCTCCAGCTTCGTTGATAGGCGCTTCATGTTTTGGATTAAGTAGGCTGTCATATAGCTTTCCCGCTGTATCAAGCATGCATAAAGGACGGTATGCTGATGGTGAATTTGGGTCTCCTTTTCCCTTACTGATTAGCACCAACCATATCTTTTTCCATGGTTCAAGGAATATTCCGGTTTCAAGGCAGGTGTTGTACAAGTTCAGTAATACTGCCGGGCACTCTGCAGCGATTATTTTGAGGATTTCTAGGATTCCCTTCCGGGCMGGGTGATTTGTTGGCCTTGAGCTTGCCAGTGACTAGATGCAGCTTTTCAAAGGTGAACTAGAGGATTTGCGCAGATCATAGAGTGTGTTCTGGATCACTAGCCCTGCCTTCGTATGCGGGGAATAGTGTGTTCACGATGTGATACATTTTTACAGCGGTTRAGTCAGGTGACTTAATACATATAATCGCTTATAACTAGATTTATAACAATTTTCTGATATCAGCAGTGATATCGCAAGCTGCGATTTAAACATCAAGTCGTC